TGGGGTAATTTAAGGCCTCCATGATAAGATTATGATATCATGCACGCCACATCTTTCTTAGTCAATGTTCTACCATGTTGTGCCGCGCTTATCAATTAATTGACCAATGAATGCATGGTTCACTCTATGACATGCAATTATCTTTATCCACAGTAAGTTATCTCATTCCACCCGCCTTGAAAACCACATTACTCTGCTGAAGAAGATAACATATACATACGCGCCAAACTAAAATTGCACACAGAAATGCAATATTTATTTTAAACGTGTAGTCAAATTTTTATAATATAGGAGTTATTGTGTACAATTACATTTCTTTTCATGAAATATTGTGCGATTGGTGGAATCAAATAGTTCATAACAGTTTTTAAGAAAGGAAAATATGTCTTGTATAAGTAGAACATTATGATATTAATAAAAAAAGACCTTGTATTCAGATAATTTTACTTTATAGGTTGATATGGCCTTAGAATCATTAATTTCATGTAGTGGGAAGCCAAGTTTGTGTTAGTTTATAATATCACCTTCATCTCCTTTCGCTAAAAAAAACCGTTATTGATTGTATAAATTAGCAGTTAAGATGTCAGCTATTGTTTTGAAGAATCACCTTTTGCCTTGAACACAAAGGAAAAAAACAGTTCCAACCCTCGAAATTCGTGTTTCTGGCGATTTATGAATTATATAATCGGCATTATATGTGAATTCTGCTAATAAAAGGCAGACAGTCATTCAGAAACAAAGAAAGGAACCAAGAAGAAAGCTTTGAGATTATTGATTTTGCCTTCGCTCTCGTAGATTTTCAGTTCTTCTTTTTGTGTTAAGAAAGGAGTTAGGCACCTTGTTGCCAAATTTCCACCACTGCTTGCCCATTTTACTGTAGCTAACAATTAATTTCTTAGACGATTTTATGTTTTGAAGTAAATAATATTTGTGCCAAAATAATTTGATAACAAATACAATAAAATTAGTAATACGCGCGTCTGATTGGGTAAAAACCAATGTAATTTTCATGTGAAACGAGCGCAGAGTCATGACACGAGTGCGAATTTTCGTCCGTCTTGACTTACTGTGATGCGTTTTTCGTGTAAACTATTAATAGTAACTACATGATTTCGAGTGCCATTTGGTGTAAATAAGCACTTGTAAATTTTTCAAAGACTACAAATTGCACGAGCCCTACGGGCTCAGCCCACCCTAATCGTAGTTGGCTCCGGAATAATCAAGAAGTGCTTATCTGATCTTTCTGATCTCGTGAAGCAACAAGTGGTTTTAACGTTTATTTATTTTTTTTTTCTACTTCACACTCGAAAATTTCTATTATCTTTATTTATGAAATAATTATTGTATCCAGGAAAAGTGAAGTAACACGCAGAGAAAGTCAAAAATATCTAAAAGAACGTAAATATGCCTTACGGCTAAAGAATTATGAGACAAATGGTGCATTTACACTCCTTCATGAGCGTAAAATTTTTTTCATGCGAGGTAATAAAAAAACTGGCATTTGGTATGTTTTCATAAGCCTTGAACTGTGTTGTTCCACAACTGGAATCACTATCACCAACATCTACAATTCCGCACTAGTACACGAAAAACCAATTTCGCCCATTTGACTGTGGCCTTAATGACACTTAAAACAATGCCTTAAACATTAATTCAAGAGGACAATGAGGGCAATCGTATATTAAGCCCGTTTTGCAAAAAAAATTCATTGAAGCTTAGCACGGGTATAAGTTTTTTTTTTGGTCTGGTTGTTTTGGTTTTTTGTACGTGTATTTTTTCTTTATTTTTTTTTACACTTCTAATTCACACGGATCAGTATCCATCTGCACTCAAATTTTCTTATTAGCAGCTTTATTTCTCTTCATGTTTAGTGATGTTTCTCTTATTTTACAAGTCTCTGTGCAATACATACTACATTCCTCATTTCCAAGGTATTTTAGTCGAAAAGGAAGCTATTAGTCGTCACGGAAAGGGGATTTTCTAGTAATGGTAAAGAAAACAGAAATTAACAGTTCGACATTTGATAGACACGAGGCAGTAATGTGATAATGGTCTGCAAAGGAAATAAACCTTTGCCACCAAAGTGAAGCTGGTACATTATTAACCACACTGATCGCATTATCGTAATCGAATATCACTACTCCAGTGAAAATTGAACTGACATGGAAATTGATTAACATGCAATAGAACGTTTTCAGATTAAACGGCAGATGTATTTACACTTCTTTGTTTCTCTACAAGACCACAATACGTTTTAAGGAAGGAGGTTTTCGGAAGTAATACACCGCCTCTGCCATTAATTGTATAATACAGCAGGATGTAAATACATATTTTTGGTGATATCCCGTGGATGGAGATCATATAAACGGAGCAAACGATTCCCAATTCATTCAATCATTAGTTTGGTCTAAACACAAGCAATAGCAGTGGTCGTTAGAAGTAGCTGTAACATGAAAACTTCAACCAGGGTTTGGATTCTATGTTGCTTTTTAATTTTGTCTTCTTCTGTCCAGTTCTCAAGCGCATTTACCTGCAACACAGTTGGTAAAAGGACTTTTAAGGTAGGTATTAAATAATATATATTTTATCTCAGAGAAATTGTGGGATGATTGACAACGTTTAGTAACGATAAAATAAACTTAATTGAAACGTGTCTTAAATTTAGAGGCATCACCCTTACTTAAGGGAAAATAAATTTACTTTATGAACAACAATTTTTTTTTCGTTTTACTTAACCCGTTCTTTACTGTTTCACTGACCACTGTTACCTCCATCGCAGTTACATTATCTAAGCTGATAAATTTCAGTACAGTTTTAAGCAATACCTTGACTTCGTGAGAACACTTCTCATTAAACACCCTCTTTGGTTCAATCCTTACAGTATGACAGAGATATTCAACCAATCTGCCAGTTCGCCTCCGAATATTGTGGTGTTCTGAGACCTGAGCTGCAGTCACGTGACACAACTGGTGATGCGAGGCCGAAGCAAAGGGACATTATCCGTGAATGAAAATAGCTAAATCAACGCCGCCCACGCCGCCATCGAATAAAATTGTACATGTTACTTTTGTAAATCATCGTTAAAGGAAGAGTTTAAGTTTGTTTAATTTAATGACGGAATAAAAAGCTGGTTCATGATTGCAAATCATTTTGGAGGTTTTATTTATCACGATTAGGAGTAAGCAAATCTATTGGGCCACTGACTTAACGATGAATTTTAAGGTAATGCAACGGTGCGGCATGTTGATTACTTGCCTTAACGGCTCGTAATTAACAAGGGTTTTGTAACTGACGAGGATTTCCCGTGTTCTCCTCCGCATCCTCTTCCCTCTATATAAATTCCCCAAGCCTTAGTCTCCTCTCTTTGCAGCATTAGACTTACATTCACTCCCAGTCTATTGAATAACACCTTTTCGCTCGGACACGCTTGGTTCTGTGCTCGACCTATCTCTGTCACTACTTTAGAAGACGCGTGAGAACACCGTCATGAACATGAGATTAGAATGCAGCCCACGTCCAAAGGGATCGGTTTTCCTAGCCAATCAGAGACCGCTTACCTTGTCCCAAGTTCGTCAAAAGCTTTCATTGCCCGAATTTCAATATAAAAAGGTCTTACAGAACTTGTATTTACATCCTTTATTACCGAAGATGATAGGAAGAATGTAGCTTTTTAAGGCTATATGTTACGAAATCTCCGCGGGCCTTGTGGTGAAAAAGTACACATCCCTAAATTTAACAATCACAACTTTCGTAGTAAGTGAGATAAGTAATTCAGTTTAGTTTCTCGATTTCTTAGTTTACAGCAAGAACAATAGTATGATACTTGATGCATTCAGGGGCATTAATAACACTCGCTGAAGAAACACGTCAAGATATGATCTAACGTTTTTCCAGCCGGGACATCGAGCCCCCGTCACACTTACACATGCGCACGCGAAATTCTATTCTAAACAGAGTCCTACACAACAGAATCTAATGCATTTTTGTTTCGCCGGATATTTTTGTGATGATGTCATTTACAAAGAAGCATAAATCTACCAGTCTCACAGCGCTGAAGTTGTCGGGCGCTTTGAACTCTTCTTTTTAACCTGTCTTCTAAGGATTGCCCGATACGCTTTTCCGATGCAACGTTCCTCAGATCTTCTTTCAAGTCGTTGCCTTTACTTACATCTGAAAACTCACGCAACTGCTTAGCATCCAAGCCCAGCAACAGGACGAGAATAAGAGACAATAGACAAAGTAGCCTGGAACGAGCCAACATCCTATCTTTTCGGCGTTTGGCCAAATTGACGAGATTCACTGCTTTGTTGTTCGATTCTAACAAACAAAATGCACCAAAAGAAATTATCTCAAGTTTAGTATTATCCATTCCGCAGTGCGAATAACAGCAGTTTGACACAGAAAAAAAAGATCTCAGATCAAAATTAATTTAAAAAATTTCATCATGACAAGTACATAAAAAGCAGCCAAGAATTGCGGATTCCAAACAATGATGTATGGTTTTGAGATTATGTGAGGAAATTATTTCAAAATGTCAACAAATGAAAATAATAAAGCAATATCAACTGCGTTGGCAACGTAACTGAGCCACCCTAAAGAGTTTCAAAGCTGACGTTTCGAGCGTTGGCCCTTTGTCAGAGCGAATGGCGAAGGGCTCGAAACGCTCCAACGTCGGCTTTGGAACTCTTTACAGTGGTCGATTTATTTTGTCGACTCGGTTCATAATACTAAACTTCCCTGTTATACTCTGACGCAGCACCACAGTGTCTTGAGAAACTTTCTCTCTAAGTTGAACTTACCCCCTTCATAAACTGATTAAGAGTCTCATTGAGGAGGAGAACACGTCAAACGTTCGATAGCCCAATACAACGAAGATCAAAAGAAATATCACATTTGTAATTATCACTTCCATGTGATGGTAATTAAGGTGATCACAGAGCCGATTTAGAGTACCGATAAATTTAAATTTGTCGTGGAGCTCGAAGTAGAACTGTCGCCGGTTATGATATATATATGTTATTTGCCTTAAAGTTGAACTCAAATTTCTTTCCTTCTTCAAGAAGTGTATTCCACGACTGGTTTTCTAACACAAATACGGTATTCTGTTTGTTTTGCGTCTGTATCTTCGCCTGCCATACTTCGAGTATCTTGATTGGTTGAGAAAATGTAACGATCATGTTCCAACCATTGCTTAACGTTGGCCCGGGGGTGATACTGAATTTGCCAATGAATCCTTCACTCCACTGGTGTTCTATTTTGGCCCCTCCTTCGTCAAAGCAAAGACCTTTCTGGACCAGAGTTAACATAAGAGACAACGTGAAGCCGATGCAAATTGCCTTCATGATTCTGTCAATGTAAAAAGTCAACTCGCCGTGTGAGATACGTATGTGGCAGGAACATGGAGGAATCAAGGGAAAGTGTGACATACCGCGCCTGTAAAAGCTAACCCCATACAAACCTATGCCGAAACAACCTTACTCTTCCTAGTTTTTAACATAGTTTCCTAAAGGAGCTTTGCGAAAAAAATTATTTCCAAGTCGTCTTCAGAATTTGAAAATGATACCGAAAATTATTTGAAAATTACCGAAACTGCCTAGAAATAAACACTTAAGTTGAAATGTTGCGTCTCTCAGTATATTGATCCTCCTGGTTTGCATCAAACTTTCTCTTACGTTCTAAAATACTTAGTTATCCTCAAATCATATTTAGTGGGACTTTTACATCTATCGAGCGATTTAATTATCACGATAACACGAAAACGCTTCTGAATAGAATTCTCTTTTTCTCGACTTCTTGGTCCTTGTCACTTGGTTTCGCATTGTAATTAGATGTGACGGTAGGTTTCAGTAAAAGTTCAAAAGTAGATTCCCCCTCACTTTGCATCGAACTTAGGTGAAAGGAATCATATCATCTCCTTCACGAGCTTGACATAAATAACTTGAACCAATCACGACCTGCACCGCTGAAACACTGTCTAAACTTAAGCCTCACCTTCCTCTTGCTCATTCAGATTTATTTCCTTTTTTGTTACTTTATGGTCATGAACTATGAACTGATTTGTTTGGTTTGCGAAAACGAGAACGCTCACTTGCAGTCGATGGCTTTTGCGGCAAAGGTTAAAATTGTGGCCATCTCAGCGGCTAACGGTTTATATATCATTCACTTGTTGTCACCAGACCGGCATTTTTTAACGTTTGATTTTTTTTTTATGACTATCACTTGTTAAAATTTGTCAATTTTTACGGCTAACGGCTAAATTGTTTGGCCATTTTACGGCTTACGATTTACTCCTTTGAAACCCTCCTACAATAGACATCACTTGATACCCTAAATGCACGTGAGAAGCAATTGGAAATTCAAAAGTAAGTGAATGCATCTAACCGCTTTTGCAGGTACCTAGATATAGTTGTATAAACTATCAGTCTATAGGGTAAAAACGTTTGCTTCAGCATGAAATGAAGGATAAGAAGAAAAAGCCTTTTGTTTTCAAATCTATTTTAAGCGAGACCTAGTTCAAATGTGATGCGTTTTGTTTGCCTTTCAAACCTTTAACTTTGAGAATCAAGTCTTCATTACTCTTCATATCGACATAATGTAAATTGAGTTATGGTGTCAATCTCTTAGGTGTGTTTACCTAGAAAAAATTTCTATTAATTTAAAAATACGTGGAGTTTGACCCAAAAAAATAATACGTTGAAATATCATTTGTATCGAAGTTGTCCTAGTCTTTTATGGTTGAAGTATTCGTGTAAATAATTTGATTTAAAATTTGTTTCCCTCGCCATCGGCGCAGGCCTCGGCTCGTACTGTACAAAATACGAAGAGCAGTAGAAGTCCACACTCATAACTCTACATAAACACTCCTATATGGTAAATGCTTTGATTACTCATCTTTAACCTCACTTTTTACTTCGCAGAAACATTTTAGAGATTGATGATATAACAAAGAAAAAGAAAATAATAACCAATGTTCTCAAAATTTATAAAACGAGCGCAGCTTTCTGCCAAAGAAGGAAATGCTTACAAGAAAAGTGGCTCTCCTCAGTTTAACTGCCCATTTAAGCAAACTAATTCGTATTCTTGTTTTTTATCAATCCGTTTTGAACGCTTGTCCTACGTATCAATACCAAATTGAATCAAACTTACATGCTTGTTTTGAAAGGCGGCGTGTCGGTAGTTCTTTCCAAAGTCAACTGAGCTCGTTCATCTCCTCTTTGTGTTTTTAAGTTTTTTTCTGTTAACCTATCAATAGACTTAAAAGGTTATTAAGTTTACATAAAGTCGATTTCAATCAAATGATGCACTGTTAAGACAAACAAAAGAGGTGTGATTATTGAGAACTCTTTACATGTTGCGTCAAATTGCCATGGCTGCATGTGAACGCACAAAAAAATTATAAAAGATAAAAATCGCCCCACCACGATTCTCAGGAGTGAATATACCAAACATTCGATTTTTCATCGAACATGTATAAATGCTTCTCCCCAGTAGCAACGAATAAAATAAACTAAGTTGATGTAAACCACTGTACTACAGAATCTTCTGAAATTATCGAGTGTGGAACGAAAGAGGTGAGGGCGAGAATGGAAATCATTGCGAACAAAGGTTTAGTTTAAGCAATATTCAATTTGGAAATACAATATTTCAACTCTAGTCCAGAACCATAATCATGTAATATCACAAGGATAGCGTTGATAAAACTTGGTCTTGGAGAGGTTTACAATCATGATTTAGATTTGCAGCTGTAAAAGGACTCCAGAAAATCCACTAATTTCTAAAGATACATGTACAAGTTACTGTGAATGACGGGTCAGGAAATGTTCTATTTCAAGAATTTTACAGCTTTACCTAAACGTAACTGAGCTGACACACTGAGAAAACAAAATTGAAATAAAAATTTAACTCAAGAAGGAGGGACTCAACGGTACATCATTTACAACTGGTGAGGCGTTTCTACAAATGATAGAATTTTGACAACTTCTTCACACACTCTTTAAAGAGAGAAATTGAAATTGAAAACTTCCATTTCCCATACAAGTTGTTTTTACTTGCTTGAAAAATCCGTCTGTCTAACAAACTTTTGCTCAAATTTTTTTGAGCATGTAAATTTTGTTTACAATTGTGACAATTTTGATAGACGATATTGCATGAAGAAAATGTCGTTAGGCTTAATAAGTGAGTGAACATGCAACTTGAAATAGTGATAGCCCAACAATAGGAGTATTAAGGGTGTTACTGAGGCAGCAAGCCAAACTGGTAGCGGGAAATTCAGATAGAACAGAGTTCGTACGTGAAAACATGTTCTGGACGCAAAGTTGACGGCAGCAGTAATATATACGTTTGACTTCAAAGCCAGAAAACTCGTCGAAGGGGAGGCAGTAACTTTGAGCCTGTGCAAGAGGGAAGTGGAATCTACAATTATCTGAGTCGAAATGGATCTTTGCAGATTATATCACAGAAATTGTGTTTAACGCTAATTTTTGAACACAGTAAATAACTATAAACAAGAAAAGTGGATTGTTTGCAGACTGTATATGAGCAAACTTGAAACGCATCTTTGTGTGCACTGCATTGATATTATAGATCAGATCTCAGAGCAGTTTCTGGCGCACCATTAAATTTTACTTCCAAGATTAGAGTGTGCTTTGTTCAAAACAAAAAAGTTACGTTTTCCTTTTAATCGAGCCCATAATCTTCTGCAGGTCATTAAAGCAACCCCTTCGCGGGTAACACAAAAATTTCAGGAACATCAGAAAGAAGCTCCGCAATGTTAGAAAGAACGAACGGGTGGTGAGGTCAGATGGAACTTTTATTAGATAGAGCCTGGTTGATCTACAGTTTATCGATAGAGCTATAATTGCGGACGAGGAAAACAATCTTCTCTTAGGGATATCATCAACAGTGTTATAACGAAGCCTTCTGAGTTAGACTTAAGCTTCGACTTCAATCGCAAATTGACATCTAAACTTTCAAGAAAGAGCTATTTACCATTCCTTGGTTCTGATTTGAAGCAAAACCTAGACTCAAGAAAGAGAGGTATGTTTTTAAATTTTAGCTCACAGTACAAACCAGGCAAAGATTTCAATGTTTAACTCAAACTCACGAAGAAGAAAAGGTTTCCTGTTTTGCTTCTTAGATCATTCATCCAATAAACCCATGGGCTACTAACAATCTTGTAATGCAATCGGTAATTTCCGACAAGCGAGGCAGATCAGAAATAATCCGCGAAAGAAAAGAATTGTTTCAGCGCGCCGCGAAGAATTCTTGTAGTGAAGCACACAAAAAGTATTTTCAGACCTATTGAAAAAGGCATACAAAGGGTGAAACGTAAGCTGCATTGCAACATTTTATTGAGCAATATTGCCTTCCTCCACGCAATCAATTTGGCTCGCAAGATTTTTTTTAGAAGCCACTTCCTTCGCCAAGGCGGGTGAACTCTGCTGTCACGGTCGGTTTATTTTCCCCTTTCTTTGCTTTGTGTCCCAAGAACCGGAACTTCAATGGGCGTTCGGCCTTCAGTTTTTTGTTCCAGAACCTATTTTTCAGGATGTACTGCTTCTTGTCGTCAGAAATTGAATCCACCTTTGCATTCCAAACTGAGAGGCGTTTTACAGGCTTCGAGAAAGATACTGTAAGTTGCCAGCCATCTTCGACATCGTCTTCGAGGGCAATTGATATTTCACCGTAGAACCCTCTAGGCCACTGATTGAAGATAGTGACTTCGGCGTCTTCGGAGTGTACTCTGGGCGAGTGAAAAATCAACAGAGCAACAACTAAGGTGGAGAAGGTGCACCTCATATTTCCCTAAATGAAAGTAGTATTATATTATTAAAGCAAATTCAGATTCATCATGCAATTGTAAAAGGAAAAGGCGGGCGAAAATTTCGCCCTAAGATGCTCCAAAAGCCGAGCTACGTCGAAAGACATTTCCAGACACATTTCTTGATTCACCAACTACCTTTCATAACCGTCTACTTTTTTGTTTCCGAAATACGAAGGTATCAATGGGGTGATGGCTTTTAGGGCCAATAGTTAAACTTTTGGCAGTTTTAGGGTCAATTTCTTTCAGTTGCTATTAAAGGAAGAATTTTTGTGGTTAAATATTTTCACGACCGACGGTTATGATTTGTCAATTTTTGCGCGCAATTGTAAAATTTTTTGCCTATTACGTTTAAACTCACTGAGAGTTTACCGACTATGTTTACCTGTACAATTGATATGATATAAAGAAGACGGATCAGAAGGCAATATAAAGTGGATAAAGCTGATTGACATAATACAAAAATCGAAGGCAGGCTAAAAGAATCGGACTTTTCAAATTAACTTATTTTTCAACTCAATGCGATTTTGTGCAATCATTCTCCTTAAATGGTACAAAGTAACTCTTACCTCGTTTGTAATCTCCTCTGATGAGTAATTTGGTGCTTATGAGCGCTTGTAGACAGAATGCTGTGAAGATGAATAGTTACTAACGTTTAAATACTGTTCTTTTGCCCTGATACACTTTTAATCTTGAATACTGTTTGTTCAAACAAAGCTTTTACATACTTATCGGTTTTGTAAATGGTCTGTTTCAACAAAGACCTCAAGATAAACGTAGTGGATATAAAGCTTCTCTAACCATTCAAACAGTGATTTTGCAATATCACAGCTGAATTAACAAATTCTGGGCAAATATGCTGACCTAGTATGATTTCATATTTGCATATCTTAGTACCACTAAAAAAATTACCAGGATTTATTTAGAGAACACGCGGACTGAAAGATTCTGATTTACAACGCATGGACTTTTTTTAAAAGAAGTTGTGGAGGTATCTGAGAGTTGGAGGGAAACAATAAAAAATGTAATTGAAAAAGCTAAGCTCAGCAATTTCCTGTTCGTTGCTTACTAGGTAGTGACTAGCAGGGTTTTCAACTGTTTTGTAAAGTAGCGGACATACTTCTGAAAGCACCGGACGTGAATGTTTTCTTGGCGCCGTAAGGCGCCTCGCGAGCGCCGTAGTAAAAATAAAATCGCCAATATTGATCTCAAAGTACCGGACGTGGAATGGCAAACGACCGGACGAAACGTCCGGCCTCCGGCCTCAAATGAAAACCCTGGACTAGAATAAAATAAAATCATTTTGACCACTTGCTTGCTGGTACTCATCAAAACTTTCATCCATATATTCCCAAATTGTTGAGAATTTCGTCTTGTTATTTTCCGTTCCCAGCATTTTCTACTTGTTTTAAAATCCCTGTGAACTATTCCTCACACTTTTTCAAACTTCTCTATTTAGCTGAAGTTGTTACGTATCCTACGGCATTCCAGCCACGTTTGCGAAAACAAGCTTCCCTTCATGAAAATTTATTCCCATGCCCATTTAACCAGCTACGAGTGGCTAACTAAATAGTGAACAGATTGCATTGCCACAACTAATAAATATGGCATAGGAAGAGATTGTTTTGAGGTTCATGTTCAACAAAAAAGTGATCATCTATGACCATCCAACCTCCACGCCGAAAAAACCTGTTGAGACCCCCAACAACATCAACATCGAGATACCTATGACATAGACTTTTTTTCTGGGACCAACGAGAAATCTGATCCCCCCCACCAACCATTCTAACGTAGTGCAGTTCTTCGGAGTCGGATGCATGTTTTCCTCTTGGGCTCTTTAGTGGTGCATCAGACCGCAAGATTCAAAGTTGCGTAGAAAGTATTATGTTTAACCAAGAGATCATATGACATTATACTTATAACAAACAGAACATATATACGTCAGTTTTAAGTTTCAAGGGGATTCATTTAATTTATAGTTCGCAAATTTGATGATACAGAGTGATACGATTCAGATTGTCCCTTAAGCCTCGTACAAACCGCTGCCCTCGCCCAATCGTTCGAAAGACAACTCAATGTTTTTTAAGGGCTTTCTGCTACCCTTTGTAACCGTAAATGGAAAACTCAGTGTTTTCTCCGCCTCCAGTTCAGCATTCCAGCGTCGATTTTCGAGCACGAACTCTTGTTTATCTTTAGACACTATCCTTGCTTGCCAAACCTCCAGTCTCCTTATCGGCTCAGTGAAATTCACTGTTAGTCTCCAACCTTCTGGACCAACGGGAGTCATAGGAGTGATCTTAAAAGTGCCCCAAAATTGCTGCCTGTGTTCATGTCTCTTCTCCCATATCACCTCATCTTCTGGTCTCACCTCAGCCACCAGTGAGAATACAACCAACACAACCAGGACAGTGTTTCCGATGCGACTCATGACTCAAAGCTGTGAATGAGTAATGTAATGTTTTGATGAATAAAAAGATTTGATGGATGGGAAGATTTTTCTTCATGTAACTGTCTCACAAAATTAAAAGATAGCGCATGAAACTGGTCCAACAATGCCCACTTTCGCCGTATCTATCACTGATAGAATTGAGTTTAACCTCATTTATACATTCTTGCTATGATGAACTGAAGATTCGCACAAACACATTACTTGACTAAATCCACAAACAATGACTTTTTGACTGAAGTACCTTAATTTTACAATCATTTAAGAGTGCCCAGTCTTTGGTTTTGAAAGAAAAAAAAATAACAAGAGGTAAAAGATGTAAAGTTAAACTTCACACTGTTTGTAAAATTGCATCAAACATTGCTTTAACCGAGGTTTATTTAAGTCGAGTACCGAAATCTCTGATCGCTATAGCGGATTTCTGAGGGACCGTGAATTGGTATCCGTATCAGCACAGTTCTTAGAATTCCCTTATTCTGAAAGGAAAATTCATGCAATGGTAGAAGCCATGCTACAGTTCGCGCAAAAAAATTAAATATCTTTAATACTGTCTCGGACAAAAGGCGAAATGTGACATGATCAAGAGAAAATCAATAAAAATGTTATTTTAGGATTTGTTCTCTGTCCTCAATAGCTAACGGGAGCTATGATCCTTAGCCTTCTCAACATATGCCTTCAGACGTTTGTACGCGAAAGGGAGAATATTTGTTTGAGCTTTCATTTGATCTGCATTTTTCCGCCAAGTTTTATTTGAAACAACAAGAAAATAGCTGAAATCAGTGTTGAATTTTTGCCTTCTACTGATATCGTAAACACAGACCTAAACACATATCCAACTGACTTGATTATTCCTGGTTTTGAGGAGTTAGTTGCCACAAATAAGACAACTCGCGGTGTTATTTCAATCCCCAAGTTACCTACCTTCACAAATGTTGTCTAAAAAAAGCTATTCTGCGGGAGCCAACTACATTCAATGATAACTTTTATATCGCTTGGGAAATTAATATCCTGGCAGAAGGTGTATCTTATTAATGTTTGAATAGCGAGTTATTTTGTTGCATCAGCTGCAGATATATCTGAAAGACCTTAAATGAATCTCACATCGCCCTAAATTGTGTTTTTTGTTGGCAAAAACCTTATTGTGTCATTACACAGTTGATCAAATAACGATTGAAGTTATTTCAATCGGGTTTTGCAGAGTGTAAATTTCGAGAATGAAAACTATCGATGCATTTTTCTCTCGAGAGCAAATAGCTTTTCTGTACGCATAGCAAGGTAAAATGATTTCAGCTGTTAGACTGATGTTGCTTTTTCTTCATGGAAGTGCCATGCTTTTAAAAACTCCTTCGACATAGGTGTCATTAAGAAAAAGCACAAGACCTTTTCGTCCTTTTATGACCTTTTATGTGCCACATTCCCGAGTTTTTTATTTGCTGTTAATCTTTGTAGTTCTTAGGACAATAAGAGGACTTTGTCGAGTCAATTTTCACAGTTTTATTCGCCGTCACAAAAACTCGTTAATTCTTGGAATTTGATACCAGTTAATTATCGAGTCTATCACATCTAGATGCTCCGTGCTCCATCAGTTGCAATATCTTTGGATATTTTGAACGTTATCAGACAACTGGGACTCACTTTCTCGCATAGTTTTCCTTTTTCTTTTTTATTTCCCTTTTACATTGTTATTTTGTCATTCAAGTACTTTTTTGAGGTGAGCAAATGTCTGAATAAGCATCGCATAACCAGATTTTTCGCGGGCGAGCGAGAAATATAATGGAAAAACTAGTGAACATTCCTTAGATGAGGAGCAAAGGGGGGAGGGGAGGTAATTAGGACGTAACTTTGGATTCAGCGGAGGCACAAAGTTGAAGGCGGTTTTTATAGAACGCCAGGGTGCAGATTTTAGACGGCAGCAGCTTTATAAGGTTATCGAATGTACGATACCGTAAAATGAAAAATCGACCTAACTTTCTGCAAAGTGTTGCGCGACATACTGTAATCCTCGTCATGAATCTTGAAACAAATTTCCCGTCACCCCTTGTCAATGCTGGTATGGGGAAAATTAACCACCTTAAAAATACTGAACATTGAGCCAACCGGGGTGTTTCAACAAAACTTTATTGGGGTTGTAGTTATTTGCAATAGAGCGCTTCGTGCTTTAGGGGCCTTTGCTACGACCGCAAAGAAAACGATGAACGGTCAGTGTAATGAAAATATCCTGGCCCTGCCATGGCAAAGCACGCGACCAGAAATAGAGGGGCATCAATACCTTTCAATTTCCACGATCACAATCAAAAGCCATGATAATACGTCTAAACCTGAGAATTTTCCCAAAAAAAGGGGAATTCGAGATAGAGGTCATCGGCTGAGACATTAGTTTGGACTTAATTTTTATGAAATAATGCTGGCAATTATCTATTTTTAAAAAGGTAAATTTACTATTTAAAGAGAGCTTAGAAAAGCGAAGAGACAACCATGGCGAAATCATCATTTGTTCTGAATTTTGTTCTCATCAACGTCTGGATCAATAAGGTTTCCTCTTGTAGTACAGACCACATTATTCTTGATGGAAGGAAATGTCCTCTGATATAGACGAAAGCGACGATTAATTCCCAATCTGTCAGATTAAATTGATAGCTCTATTTTCTGGCATATTCGTTACGCGACCTCCGCTGAATTACGTAAGTTATCGCCCACAAAACTATTGAAGTCTTTAATACTTCACAGAGTTGTTTACGATATTCCGATTCATATTCACGCCATATTCATATTTTTTACAGCAATATATAGTGTCTTATGGCAAGAGGTCCAGTTTGTCAGAACATATAGCTACTAAAATAAATCATGATCGTTTAGCTTTTACGTTTTCGTAAAATATTTCACGGTTCTTTTGTTAATATTTGTGTAATCTTCGAAAGAAGGTCTCAATTTTTTAGTCATCTACTTATCGCTATTCTTTAGATATGAAACTGTGGTGGTCTATCAAACAAACTAGGATTAACTTGAACAGGGTAATTTAGAATTATCAACTGAGTTGATAATACTAAATTTTCATCTTGTTAAAGCTGACGTTTCGAGCGTTAGCCCTTCGTCATTCCCTCTGACGAAAAGCTAACGCTCGAAACGTCAGCTTTGAAACTCTTAACTGTTGCCAATTTACGTTGTAAACTAAGTTGATAGTACTAAAGCATCCTGTTATGCTCTCCCACTCACGCAGCAGAACAGTTTCTTTAGAAATTTACCCCTCAATTTATAGGTCTAACTTTACATGCTCTCCTTTAAATTTTAATTTATTTTACCCACAGAGCATTTATCATTGCTTAAGTCCATCAAACGCCACTTTCAGTTTAATGGGAGTGTAAATCGTCAGGGCAATTACACGAGGATAGCAAAATGTTACCAACACTGTATGACGCAAATGAGCATGAAACGAAAAATTGGAAGCCTGAGTGTTTCTAATACAATATTTTTTTCAAGTTCATTCCTCTCTTGACTTTAAAGACCTTGACTTTTAAGACCTTTTCGGACGAACGCAGGTTTGTCACAAAGGAAGTTTTTAAAACGGTCAATGGGGTAATTTAAGGCCTCCATGATAAGATTATGATATCATGCACGCCACATCTTTCTTAGTCAACGATCTACCACGTTGTGCCACGCTTATCAATTAATTGACCAATGAATGCATGGTTCACTCTATGACATGCAATTATCTTTATCCACAGTAAGTTATCTCATTCCACCCGCCTTGAAAACCACATTACTATGCTGAAGAAGATAACATGTACATACGCGCCAAACTAAAATCGCACACAGAAATGCAAATAATATTTATTTTAAACGTGTAGTCAAATTTTTATAATATAGGAGTTGTGTACAATTACATTTCTTTTCATGAAATATTGTGTGATTGGTGGAATCAAATAGTTCATAACAGTTTTTAAGAAAGGAAAATATGTCTTGAATAAGTAGAACATTATGATATTATTAAAAAAAGACCTTATATTTAGATAATTTTACTTTATAGGTTGATATGGCCTTAGAATCATTAATTTCATGTAGTGGGAAGCCAAGTTTGTGTTAGTTTATAATATCACCTTCATCTCCTTTCGCTAAAAAAACTGTTATTGTTTGTATAAATTAGCAGCTAAGATGTCAGCTATTGTTTTGAAGAATAACCTTTTGCCTCGAACACAAAGGAAAAAAACAGTTCTAACCCTCGAAATTCGTGTTTCTGGCGATTTATGAATTATATAATCGGTATTATATGTGAATTCTGCTAATAAAAGGCAGACGGCCATTCAGAAACAAAGAAAGGAACCAAGAAGAAAGCTTTGAGATTATTGATTTTGCCTTCGCTCTCTTAGATTTTCCTGTGCTGACATTTCTCACAGTTCTTCTTTTTGTGTTAAGAAAGGAGTTAGGCACCTTGTTGCCAAATGTCCACCACTGCTTGCCCATTTTACGGTAGCTAACAATTAATTTCTTAGACGATTTTATGTTTTGAAGTAAATAATATTTGTGCCAAAATAATTTGATAACAAATACAATAAAATTAGTAATACGCGCGTCTGATTGGCTAAAAACCAATGTATTTTTCATGTGAAACGAGCGCAAAGTCATGACACGAGTGCGAATTTTCGTCCGTCTTGACTTTCTGTGATGCGTTTTTCGTGTAAACTATTGATAGTAACTACATGATTTCGAGTGCAATTTGGTGTAAATAAGCACTTGTAAATTTTTCAAAGACTACAAATTGCACGAGCCCGTAGGGCTCGTGCAATTTTGTTGTCTTCGTAAAATTTACTCTTGCTTATTAACACCGAATTACACTTGAAATCATG